ACCAATGCTGGTGGTTGCACCCGTCGGGTGCACGGTCACCACCTGAAGCTGTACCTCAAGAGCGATGTGGATCCGCTCTTGGATGCACCTGTTCCTGTACCACGCTGATTATCCACCATGGGTGTCCAGCTACAAGACGGTAAAGAAGCGCTTGTGGGGAGGCAACCCCACCACGGTTTTCATTTATTTCTTTTATTTTGGGTCGGATTGCCAATAGCTTTGGCTTTGGCTTGTTTTCTTTCGTTTTGGATGATGTGATATTGGGCTGACCATTGGACGTAACGTATTGTGTTGGAGTTCTTTTGTTCCCTTTAGCTGTGCCTGTGTTCCCGACTGGTCCTCTCTCCAGTCCGTTTCATGCCGACTGGTCCATTTCCAGTCTCCTGTAGTTTGTGCACACCGGTAACATCGTTCCCCTTTCCTTCCCTATTCTCCATCGAGGGCAATGTCGATCTTAAGTGTGGGGGGGTGTTTATCTTTTGACTGCATTAGATCTGTTTGTGTGCTTGGAGCTAGTCCCCTGTCCAAATTTTTAAAATTTGAGGGCTCCAAGTACGTGTTCCTTGCAATTGCCTGCTCAATATGCTTTGAATTGACAGTCTCTGTAGTAATGTGCAACCTAGGGAGGTAGTGTTGCACTATGGAGGATGTTGATGCATTTAAGAAATCTCATTTCTTCTTCATATTGTGTTGGTTGATTGAGTGAATTAGTGATCTTAGGACCCTTGAATTGTGTGGTGCTGTGGACTCTCTGCCTGTCATGGACTCTTGTATCATGTTTTGAAATTAACAGGTGCTCGAAAATGTGCTTTAAAATAACGTCTCCCGTGCGAATAGGGCGAAAGTGTGTAAGGGGAGACGGGAATCCGTTCCCAATTTCCACCTACTACCTCCAGCCCCCTTACATGTCTTTCCCCCGCACGAGGCTCGAGACACCCGCTCCTGGCATGGCCGGTAAGAGCCGGGCTCCCGCAAAACCTTTGCTAGGTGGGAGCCCCCGTTTTCTGAAAAACAGGTTGGAACCCTAGGAAAAAAAAAAAAAACAGAAAAACAAGCAAAAAGAAGAAAGAAAAGGGGTTCCAACCATCTTCAAGAAGAAAATCGAGCACCTTAAAAAAATGTGAGTCCATGATCTTTTGTTTTTGAGAGTCTCTTCATCCACGATTCATTTGTCCTCTGTTCACTATTTGCCATGATGCTGACTCGAGACTAGCGTTCTCGCCGAAGAAGCTATGAGATGACTTGTGCGTCGGTTGACCTCGTAAGTTGCTAAATGATCTAGGAAGTCCTCTACCTACGATCGGGGTTGTTTGTTTCTATAGAGGTCTGGAGAGTTGCATTGGTTTGAGTTAGGTTTGCTTGGGGACAAGCAAACGGTTAAGTGTGGGGGAGTTTGATAGACCGATAATTACACATGTTTTCACCCCTATTCTGAAGCCGTTTGAGATGTAGATTCTCGTGTTTTAAGCCGATTTCACGCTAGGTTGTGTGTTTATGTCATATTTCAGGACCCGGCGTTGGAATCGAGGCGGAGAAACGAGTTCTGGGTCGAAAGGAGCGAAGTTGGGACGAAGTGGGCTGCAGGAGGAAAATACCCGGTCAGGTGGCCAAATACCCGACCGGGTATTTATCACTTTGGGCACCCGTGAGAAACAGAGAGGGGCCCGGGCAGAAGGCTTAAATCCCCGGTCGGGGATTATTGAGGCAGACCGGGGATTTTCCCCTTGCATGAAACGCGTGTTTTGAGCATACCCGGTCGATACCCAAAATACCCGACCGGGTATTTCGACCGGGTATCGCGATCGGGCAGCAGATTTAAGGGAAAGGAAGGCCAACATTCAAGGGTTCCGAGTTTTTGAGAGATAGAGTGATTCCTAGACAGAGAAAGCGACGAACCAAAGTTCCCAAGTGCCATAGCTTGATCTTCATCACCATTGGAGCCCGGCTTGAGCTTGGAGAAGTGCCGATTAACGTCCAGGAGCAGAAATCCATCTTCACAGTATGATTTTCGCGTCTGAATCCGCTTTTGCTTCTTTCTCTATGGAGTAGTTTCCCCATTCATCTGGGTATGGGGAACCCTAGATTTGTATGCTAGGTTTGATTGTATGAACCCAAGTACAGAGTTTATGAATTGATTATATTCGATTGAGGTTTGAATGATTGAATGACTTGAATCCTGATCAAATTCCTGTTGTTTCGGCTTTGACCTAGAATGAGAATATCTGCCTAGGTTGATAGAGTATCCTTAATTGAAGGTAGCGAATTGGTGACTTTAGTCGAGGAGCCAATTCGCTATTCTGTACCGAATTCAAGTCGGTAGTGGAGGTTTGGTTCGTTAGGGCCTCAATCTGTTTACTCCGGTGGAGGTTAGTCGCCCGCTAGAGACTCAGATTGAGAGGGTCTGAAGACCTTTAGTCGAGACTTCAGACTATTTAAGAACCTTCCGCAGTATAACTTTCATGAAAACTGAACTTGGTAAATTACAATCCGGCTTAACTGCGGTCTAGGGGGAACCATATCCGGGTGACCTCTCTTGACTTGAACAACTGTTTAACTTGCTTTGCGTTTTTGTTTGTTTGAATCTGCACTAAAAGTTCACTGCTAGATAACGAGAATTCACCGAGTAATCATCAAATCTAGGAACCGGGTTGACAATAAAACCCAAACCCGCTATACTACGCTTTAGGAAGTGGTTATACTTGGCCATTTTCTATAGTGACAGTAGGAGTGAGTCACTCATCATTATTTTTTTAACCTCAAGGGTTTGGCCTAATGATAATGTTGGAATAAGAACAACCACTACACCCTATGTACGCAACTTGGTGTCAAACGATTGAAGAAGAAAAAACAACCTTTTTACACATTCATTTGGGTTGATTCTGGTTGTTTGGGTTCAATTCGTTTTTTCAATAAATTTTTATTAATATTTTAGATGACCCGACGTGCTGATCGGACAAAATTATCAAGGTTTTGGATGAAGATTGACGAAATGATCGCTTTGTTATTCGCTCAAACATATTTTATTGGAGCATGCAAAATAAAACTAAGTCGTTTGGAAGTTGTGATTGTTAGAGTTGTGTTTGTTGAATACATGTACCGTGCACTATACAATGTTTGGAAGTGTCAAAGTGTAAAACAATGCATGCATTGTCTTATGTAGTTCCCACCAACAATCACAAAAAATGATGCATTATACAATCTCAACTAAAAGTTGAGATTGTTGTGATTTTTGGTTTTATATTTGTGTCAACTTTTTCTTTCAATTTATATCTCTAATAGTTTTTGTCTTATTCTAAAAGTTGAGGGTAATTGTGACATTTCCCCATAAAAGTAACTTTATGTAAATCAATGCATAAAGTAGAATCTCAACAACCAAACAATGTATTGTTAAAATGCATCCATTCTATAAATACATAGGCCAAGGCTTGCCTCGCCACACTTTCCCTTTGTTCCTCAAGCGGCTGTTTGCCTTAATCCATCAACCGAGTATGGTCATGGCCGTGGTAGCAGTTCTTTGGAGGATTTGGAAGTCTCGTAATTGGGTGGTTTTTGAAGGCAAGCAATTTGGGTTCCCGGCCTTGATGCGGCAGTTTCATCAGCAGTGTGAGGAGTGGGCCCAAGTACCGGCAAATAGACCAGAGGTGGACCCTAATCCTACTGGCCTTTCTCCAGGGGTGCTGGGGGGTACCTCGCTGGTGTGTATGTGGGACGGGACTACGAGAGCTGGGTCCCACTCTGCGGGCGAAATTGTGCTTCTTGATCCTCATAGGGTGGTCCTCCGAGCGCAAGGGGTTCAGTATGAGGTTATTGATGACCCTTTAGTGGTGGAGGCGCTTGTCCTCCGAGAAGCTCTCCTTTGGTGTGTGGCCAATGGGCTCCAGGATGTGCGTTTTGAAGGCGATGCCAAGATCATCATTGATAAAGTCAATCACGCTGAGGCTAATGATAGTAGGATTGGGGTGATCTTGGACGAAATCAGGCATTGTATGGGACATCAGCCGGGGTTTAGTTTGCGATTTATAGGTCGGAGAAACAATAGGGCAGCCCATGCGGTGGCTAGAAAGGCCCTTTCTTTGTACCCGCCATGTGTCGCTCGTTTAATTTCCAGACCTGGCTGTTCTCCAGGATGTAACCGTGTCTATATTTCAATCAATATATGATTATCTTTTATAAAAAAAAAATCGCAACTTCCAAACCAAACCACGTGTGTATGTATTTGTGACCGGTCATATGCTAATTAAACCTAAAATTAGTCCTAAGACCACCCACAACGTGGGTTGGTTTTGTGGGAAAAAGGGGAAATGTGACCACAATGTGGGGGGAATAGGGGATTAAATGGGTTTTGTGGGTTTAGTGGGTGGGAAAACCCACCAGATGAGACAAATGGTGGGGGGAAAGGGGAAGGGGTGGGGCCCACTTCAGTTTGTTTTTATTTTATTTTTTGTTATTATTTTAATGGTTTAGTGTTTGTTTTTAGGGTTTAGTATTTATTTGTTTGCTTTTATTTCTTCTTAATTATGTTTATGTTCAACTATCAATGTAACAACTTTCTTGTATAAATTATTGCGATTTCGTCATTAATGACGTTAATTAGTGATGAAAAAAATTATGTCCAAATTAGAAAAAAAATTATATCAAAATGTTCGTATTCATTAATTATCATTAACTATGTAAAAATAATGATCATTATATAAAAATAAAGTGTTGAAATCAACTATAAATTGATTTTACGAAAAAAAGTGTTCAACCAATTACCCCTTTTTCCCACACCAACATTGTGACCAAACCCTCTCATTTTCCCCCTTTTCCCTCTTTTCCCACCTTTCCCACCCTCCCACATTGTGGATGGTCTAAGTGGTAGGTTCCTCCGGTTATATGGCCGGTCTAGGGTTGGCAAGTGGCAACTGAATAATTCAATTTTGATAACCGAACAATTTCACGGTCAGAGGAACGAAGCCCTTTTACCAATTAGGCCCGTCTTAGTTATGGAGCAGGTCCACTGGTTGATAAAGGCCCAGGCCCAAAATCTAGTGTCACCAGGCGTCGCCGTTCAAGACCCGGAGGACGAGCGATGTCTTCCCAAATCCCAACCGCGAGGTTTTCCTTTTCATTCTTCCTTCCAAGCTCTCTCAACTCCCGCAGCTGCCGCAATACTCAGACACAGAGAAGAGCCGTCAAACGCCGAGATAGTGAAGTAAGTAACGAAACGCCGGCCAAACGAGATGGAGAAGAAGCCGAAGAGCTCAAGGAAGGGGAAGAAAGCATGGAGAGCCAACATAAGCACCGACGACATTGATGAGTACATCGAGAAATCAACCAAAGACGCTCTCACCGGCGGTTCCCTCGCCGAGGTCCCCAATGAATCCCTATTTTTTGTGGATAAATCCAAAGGTGCCTCGTTTTTTACTTGTTCACCCGTGTAATTTGGAGATTGGTGGAGTTTTTTTTGCTAGGTTCAGCTTAGAATGGAATTGAAAACGTGGTATCCGTTTGACTGATGCTATGCGACTAGTTGGTTAGGTTATAATGGCCTTTTCTGATTCTGGGTTTTCGTTGTTGATGTTGTTATCGATATCAGACCTTTCCGTGAAGAGGAAAATTGAAAAGCATAGAGAGAAAGTGCTCCACTGTGACAGTGTTCTGCAAAGGAACCCTTTTGTCAAGGCAATCCCTTCTTCAAATGATAAGAGGAAGTCTAGCATGAAGAAGAAGAAAAAGAATATGAAAGACTCTAAGGGTTCCACATCGAAAGATGATGCCATTAAGGTTTTCCCTTGCTCGAAAGCTCGATTGCACGTGTTCGTTTTATTTCTGGCATGGTGGAAGTTGATGCAAATTTAACCTTTTGTGTTCTTTTGTGTCTCAGAATGATGAGTCTGGGGTTGTTGACTTGTGGGAAAATGAAGGTACTTATATTTCCCAATGGCTTGCATGTTTTTTTTCTTTTAATTTTGATTTCGTCGAATGTTGGAAGTCTCAAGTGTATCTATGTACTTACTCAATTGTGCAGCTGAAGGCGATGTCAGAGCTCGGAAGGTATGTTCTCCTCCAACGTGATTTTAGGTTCATCTGTGTAATGGTCTGGTTATTATCCATTTGTTGTGATGTATCATGTATGGTTGCAGATAGTCAAAACTTCAGTTATTCCTGCAGTGGAAGTTGACCCTCCTGGATGTTCATTCAATCCCCATTTTGAAGCCCATCAGGTAACTTGTCCAAATTGCACGTATTTTACATTTTCCTTTCAGCTTTTATTGAAGAAGTTGCTGATCAGATCCCTTATGCTTGGTTCAGGATTCATTGGCACAAGCTGTTGCTCAAGAGATGCAGAAAGTCTATCAAAGCGAGCTGGGACCTCAGCCTGTCCCTTTAACTGTTCAAGGAGATGCTATTGAGGAGGAAGAGGTGAGTTCTCTTATGTTACTGTTGTTTGCTCTATTTGCTGGTGCTCTTTGGTTTTGATTAAGAAAAATTGCCTTAAGTAGAAATTTAATCATGGTCTGCTCCATTGTCTCAGATGTACTTTCTTGAAGTTGATAATGTAGATGATGAAGCAAATGATGAGAATGAAGCTGATCCAGAAAAGAGGTATGCATATCATGTGCAGTTTACACGCTGTATCTTGAGCAGTTTCCTAACTCCAGGAATATGATTTCCTTGTCTATAATGGAAATTCTCTTAACCAATGAAATCCTCGTTTGTATGAATCCTCCAGTTCTTCCATGAAGAAAATGGTGACAAGAGTCGAGTTCAATAGAAGAGCTAGACTGAAAGACCGGCAGAAAAAAGAAGCAGAAGCCAAAAAGAAAGCAGAAATCTCGAAAGAAATCGATAGGTGAAGTTACAAAACTGCCCAATGCCGTACTTAATGCTTTTCCTTACTTGACAGGTTGTGCAATGTTTGTTTAAACTTCCTCTTCTTGGACGCAGCTTACCAGAAATCATAAAAGAAATAGCCAAAGAAGATGAAGAGAAGCAAAAGAGAAAGATGCGTCGGATAGTAGCAAAGGAGGAAAGATCAAAACAGCAACCCCCACGCCTGGGCAGGCACAAGTATGTTTTAGTGTCTCATACTGCGATTCCTTTTACAATAATCTTCCATCAAGTATTTAACGAATTTTTTAAAAACCGCTCCATCTTTTTAGATTTGTGCCTGCTCCTACTCAAGTACTGTTGTCGGAAGAGATTAGTGGCTCGCTTCGCAAGTTGAAGGTACTCTCAAAACCCCAGGGTCCTCTTCCATACCTCCTATATAGAAACCCTATTGTCGTACTGAAAACTAGAACATAAGTCTGATATTTTGTTTTGTGTTGAATGACATGAAAGGCGTGCTGCACTCTCGCCACAGACCGGTTTAAGAGCCTGGAGAAAAGAGGACTGATCCCTCCCTCTGCCAACAAGAGAAGAAGACGGCAAGTTTGAATTACTACCCTTCTTTTTCGTGCCTGTGAACACTTGTTCTGGGTTAGTTTACATGATCTCCTGCCTAAGCGAACCTCCAATTATAAAATGGCTTATGAATTGCTCTTCTTGACAGGTGAGAAGCAGTCGGAGTTCTTGACGATGGAGATGCTTCGACGTGGAAGCAAGCTGTTGGCAGCATAAACGACCGAAGAATCGAAGATGGGTTTTCGTTTTCAAACATTCTGCATTCTTCAAATTTTGTAATCCTCAACTATATGGAAATCAGGAGTTGCGTTGGATATGTTTCATTTCATGTAATTTCACTCTTGCGCTAATAGTAAAACACATTTAAGACTCCTTTTTCTCCTATTGTCTACCATCATTTTCATTTGATCCCTCGACAATAAAACAAATGTGGGCTTTTTTAGTGAGCCGACAGACATGTACGTATCTCGTTGTTGAGAGCCCATTACGAATGGGCTCTGTACACAATCCTTCAGCCCGGGCAGTCGCAAACGACGCGTCAGCTCGCTCGCACCATGAAAGTTTCCACTGCGAAAGGCGAAAGTTTCGTCTGACCATTTGGCTTCGCAGGCCGCAGAGAGACAGAGATGCGGATTTTAGCAGCTCATCTCCGAACGGTAGCTACTTCCGGCGACCGGTCGCCGTCCTCGAGATTATAGTTTACAGCGTTTCACTCTTCTCTAATTCTGGTTCTTCTCTTACCGTCTTCTTGCTCGCAGTATCTGCGCGGGAGCCCCGCCGGAAATGCGCAGCGATCGCGAAATTTCTGCTCCTCGTCGCCGTCGGTCAATAGAGCAGGTGCTTTCTCTTCCCCTGATCCCTAATTTATCAGCCATCGCTTCGTATTCCCCTCCTTTTTTTTTTATCTCCTGATTAATTGGACCGAGTTGTGTAGATGAGGCGGCGGCAGCGCTGGAGGAGGAAGCTGAGAGGAAAATCGGGTGGTTGCTGAAGGTGATCTTCGCCGGGACTGCCACCGCCATCGGCTATCAGTTCTTCCCTTACATGGGTAACCCTTTTATCTTATTTCATTTTAGCTGTGTGATCCTGACAATTACAGACTAGAGTAGAGAATGAAGATGTCGACTGGTTCATTGCGGTGTTCTTGCAGGAGATAACTTGGTCCTTCAGTCGATCTCGCTCTTGCAAGTGAAGGATCCCTTCTTCAAAAGAACTGGCGCTTCTAGATTAGCCAGTTATGCTGTGGATGGTAAAGTCTTTGCCTCTCTCTGCTTAGAATTTTGGGATTCCTACTCCTCTTGATTGAAAAGCTTCGGTAGCCGAAAATAATGTACTCTTTTCTCTCTGACTGGTTAGATGGGAGGAGAATGAAGGTAGTGGAGCTGGGTGGTGCTCAAGGGCTGCTGAGCATGTTGGAGGCAGCTGAAGATGATCGGACCCGCAAAGCTGCTCTTGAGGCTCTTGCAGCTTTGACCGAATCAGGTTCTAAGTATTTCATGCTGATATCCTTAACCTGTTAGCAATTGAAAGATTGGATTACTTCAGAGAATGTTTTTGGATTAGGCTGAGGTCAATTTGTTCCACAAGTTTTTTGGTGCCCTTGGTAGTGTCAACTTTAGGGAATTGAGTAGGGTGGAAAGATTGATGTTGCTCGCCGATTTCGGTTGCTTAATGGATACTGTGAAAACTTGCAGATAAAGCTGTTGGAGCTTTACACAAGGCAGGTGCGATCCCGATAGTTCAGTCTACTCCAAGTTCAGTGGAGGAAGCGGCCATTGACAAGTACAAAACAAGCGTACTTAAGAGATTCCAAGATTTGAGATACGATGGTTCGTCTTAGCCACGGTGTGCCTAGCTTGTAATGAAGCTATCTGAAAGTAGGCTTAAAGAGTTAGAGTAGGTTATACTGGTTATCTGCTATGCAAGTCAGTTTTGTTTCAGTTGCATTTATGATGTACCTCTTGGTAGACTTGCTGTGATCAAACATAGGGGTCGATGCAAACCTTCTCTCTATGACTCTATCTTTTAAGTCCCTTTTTTTCTTGGAAAAACTGATGCATTACAACTTGCTGGGTGCAAAGATGCCCTCAGCAGATGATGCAAAATCCAGTTTCGAACTTTCGGGTCCCGAGATATCTATTTTGCGGGCAAAGAGAAGACTCAGTGAGCTAGTCTCACTGCAAGTAAATTATACTCAGGATAGAGAATTAGTAAGCAATTGAGATGGCGTGTTGTTTGTCGAACTCTGCTATTATCGCGAGCAATCCAATGACTGCTGAAGAATCAATCTGCAATGAAACCTTTCTGAAACCTATATGCCAGGCAAGTTCAAGATGGTCAATGGCTCCTCCAATCTAAGTTCATGTCATAGGTATCCAGTAAGCAACCCTACCAATCTCGTACTACCCTTTTGTGTGGTTGAGATGAATGCCTCATTCGAGCTCACTTTTAGTACGTAACAGTGCTGGTCTATATGCTCTGGCTTCTACACGTTCAACGCAACATCGCGATCATGGGTTTGAAGGATCTGTTCAATGCATGGTCAGCAATATGTCCCTCTCAGGTACAGATCCTTGAACTTAACTCATTGGTGCTGGTGCAACAAGATCAAGATGCTGCAATTTGGTCCTGGATAACCAATGAGCAATCACGAACCTGAACTGCAAGACAAAATATCATGGTGGGTGGGAAATAAACCAGTAAACGCGGCTGGATCGTTTGCTAGTACACTCACTACAAAGCGCCATGGTATTACTTTCTACTTCTACAGAACAAGACAGCGTTAAGAATCTTTGTCCGTGCGAACCAAAGCAGGAGGTGGCGTGATTGAATAAACCGTCCATTTCCACGTTGTATCCACTCTGTAGCTAGCAAGCGAGTGGCTGGTTGTTTTTTGAAATAAAAACCGGTGCCCTGTTTTCACAACAGTAGCATAGGCAAACTCATTTGACTTAACCCACATCTGCAATGCTCTGCTCGCTGTCGCTGAGCTAAGCTGAGAGCTCCATTCTTACTTACCCGCCTCTGGTAATCACCCAGAAAAAGAGTAACTTTATACGTTTTCGAAAAGGAAAAAAAGAAGGAAGAAGAAACAGCTTGTCTACTAACCCCGCCTCGTTGATTCTCCACTATCTCCTTCCCTCTTTCTGCTTCCCTGGCTGCCAGTCAATGGTTGTCCTCTGTTTCCACGACTAGTAGGTAAGCTTCGAAAAGCTTCCCCTTTTCCTCTGCATTTCTTCGCTTCTAGGGTTCGATTTTAGTGTTTGATATTTGATTATTGTGATGAAATCTCCCCGTCTCTCTATCAACAACATCTATTGCTGCAAATTTATGGGATGCAGTTGTGTTTTCGTGCTTTGGTGTGCGAATCGCGGACTTTCGTCTCTCATTACTTTTCAAATCTTGTCCTTTGATTGATTGGTGGAATTTCTTTTTCGTTGCCTTTGGCGTATATTTGAGAGTTGAGGTCTTCTGGGTTTTAATCGGATTTCGTTTGTGGTTTTCCCAAGCCTGTAGCTTTGCTTGTAATTGTTGGTTTCTAGGGGACTTTCTTGCTTGTGAAGTCTACATAAAACTTTAGTCTTCACGTGGACAGATTCCTTGCCCTCTTTATCCATCTGAAAATTTGTCATACCCAGATGAAAAAGTTCCTTGCTTTTGGTTTCGGTTCTGGGTTTATGAAATTATGATACTAGGAGAAAGAATGGAGACCTTGCAATTGGAGTTTTCCAGGTTTTGATGCCAATCTCACACCTCCCTTCGTTTCTGTGTTTATGATAGGTAGCTCAACTGTGGGAGGATAAATGGGTTCAAGTGGAAATGGGAATCAGAAAGATGAAACTGAAGATGGATCCAAAAACGGAGAGTCGCAAGGTCAAGTCTCTATTGAACTCTCTACTTCTTCTAAGAGGACCTTACTGGGAAATGACGACCTTCCCAAGAAGTCGCAACAAGACAGCTTACCTAATGTATCAAACCGTGCTGCCTTCCTCAAGTTGGGCTCTGCATCTGCCAAATTCAGGCAGCTCGCTAAGGAGAAGGATGACGCCTCCCGTTTGGTAGCTTCCTCCAGCAGCCGTGGCATTAGAGACCGGATACATGAGGTTTATGCCAAGAAGATTGATTGGGCTTCTGTGTTCAAGATGAGCAAAGAATGGATCAGGGACCCGATGAACCTGGCCCTTTTCATATGGATACTAGTTGTCGCTATATCAGGTGCGATCTTGTTCCTTGTCATGACTGGAATGTTGAACCAAGCTTTGCCTAGCAAGTCACAGAGAAATGCATGGTTTGAGGTCAATAACCAGATACTCAATGCATTGTTCACTCTCATGTGCTTGTACCAACACCCAAAACGATTTTACCATCTGGCACTGCTTATTAGGTGGAGGCCTGACGATATCACTAAGCTTAGGAAGATTTACTGCAAGCATGGGACTTACAAACCCCATGAATGGGCACATATGATGGTCGTCGTGCTTCTGCTTCATTTAAACTGTTTTGCACAGTATGCATTATGTGGTCTCAACATTGGGTACAGGAGATCTCAACGACCACCCCTAGGAGTTGGATTGTGCATATCTATCGCAATAGCTGCTCCAGCAGCTGCCGGTGTATACTCGATCCTCAGTCCCTTAGGAAAGGATTATCATTCAGAGACAGATGAGGAAGCACAGGAGGGGAGTACTTCTATTAGTGGGGCTCAGTTGTTGTCCAGAAAATTAGAAAAGAGATACTCATTTGCAACAGGAGATAGTACTGAAGTGATGTTCGAGAGTAGGCCACAGTGGAGTGGCGGGATACTTGATTTCTGGGACGATATTTCCCTAGCATACCTTTCGCTCTTCTGCAGCTTCTGTGTCTTTGGCTGGAACATGGAGAGACTTGGATTTGGGAACATGTACGTTCATATAGCAACGTTTCTGCTCTTCTGCATGGCTCCCTTTTGGATCTTCAACTTAGCAGCTGTCAACATCGACAATGAGACAGTCAGAGAAGCTTTGGGAGTCACTGGACTAATCCTATGTCTGTTTGGCCTGCTCTATGGTGGGTTCTGGAGGATTCAGATGAGGAAGAGGTTCAATTTACCGGCCTATACCTTTTGTTTCGGCAAACCGGGTGCCTCTGATTGCACACTGTGGCTATGTTGCTGCTGGTGCTCTCTGGCTCAAGAGGTTCGAACTGGGAACGCTTATGATGTCGTGGAGAACAAGCTACTGCAGAAGCACAGCAATGGTAGTAGTGGTAAGCAGCCAGTGTCTCCGCCACGTAGCCCATGGCACAGTGCAATGCCGAATTCCTCTAGTCCTGTCAAGGAGTCTCCGGGAGCTAAGGATCACGCTATGGCCGCGCCAACTCCATCAACAATCGAAAGAGATGGCATTTCGGTGGAGAATGGTACTGTCGATTCTTGCTTACCGTCTGCATCTGCAAACAAAGAGTGAGTGTGTGATACAAAAGTATGTGTGTAAAGTTGACAATGGTTTTGTATGTTCATTTTACAAATGCAATGTATATCTCTCTCTCTTTCTCTGGCATTCTCTCTTGGGCTTTCTCTGCCTCATGAGTATTCTATGATTGGGAACATTTGACAAGACACTGTTTTGGCTAATCACAGACAGTTTAGTTCTATAGAGTTTTATCTACTGGAGAATATGAAGCAGTTGTTAGTTATGTTAGGTGATCATAGTTTTATTCTGCTTTTGGTTTACTTGGAGCGGAGGGGGAGAGATTCTGGAAGTAATGGGCCTGTTGTGGGGAGCTGCTGGGCCCAGTTTGGATAATTTGTGTGTTCTCGGAATAGGGATCAGATGGTTTGCTAACCCTCTATTCCGTTAGTACCGTGCTAACCCGGTTAATCGCCTTCCTTTTTAATCTCCACAAATCAAGGGTGTTTTATTATCAGGGGCATTTTTGTAAGCTGGATTTATTAGCTGATGTCATGCCGTGATCTCAGTTGGATGGGTCGTGTGCGATTTTTGTGGTGTGGGAAATCTCAATAGTCAAAAACAGTTCGTTTTGGGTTAATATGTATTCTTCTCTCTATCTGTCGGAGAGTAGAAGCCCAGCCGATTCCAGCAGTCCTTCGTGTCGGTGAAGCCTCTATCCGTTGGAGAGTAGAAGCCTAACCGATTCCCGCAGTCCTTCCCGTCGGTGAAGCCTCCCTCGCCAGTGGCCTTTGTCGGGGCTGGGTTCGGCTACTCTGCCCTCGACGACGTTGCCCTCCACGCCCCTGACTTCGTCGCTGTCACCAGCACCGTCGACGAGCTTGCTTTAATCCGACCTCATCTCCGTTCGAGTCGCCGCATCAGTTAGTCTTCTCATTTGATCAATCGTCGATCCATTCTCTCATCGGCACAATTGCATTCCGCCTGCTCCTGAACCTTTTGTTTGTGTTCTTGTATATGATTTCATTGGTTGTTCAAGATCCGCCTGAGGCCGGTTGAGTGTAGGATTCTGGATTGGAAATCTGATTTTTTTTTTTTATTGTAGTAGGATGCAATTGCTTTTGGTTTCTAACGATGTTTAGTTTGCAGACTTCACTTCTTTTGGGTAGTAGTGTTTCGTGTGAGCAGTTGGTAGTAGTGAGATTAATTTTGTGATTCCTTTGTTAGCCTTCCCAGACGGGAAGTTAGTCAATCAGTTTTTATGGTTAATAGTGTTTCGTGTTTTGGTTAGTGGTGTTGAGAACGTGTTATTTCGTGTTATGGAGATGGTGAATCTTTTGGTGGGTTGATCTTTTGTTCCTCTGATATGTTCTTAGATCTAGAGATGGTGGTTTGATCTAAGATGCGATTGGAGGTCCGGATCTGGCTTGTCTTCTTCTTTCCTCTCCCTTGTCCTTGTCTTTCCTTGCAGATTTTGGTGAGTCGGAGATGCAGCCTTTGGCGTCGGACGCAGAGTGGAGAGCTTGAAGACTGTAGTACCATCCCCTCTTGTTCTTTCGTCGGCGACCTGTCGGATTATGATGTCTCGGAGTTCTTTCGACAGGAGGCAGTAGTCGGTTGGCTCGGGGAGGGTTCTTGGGAGGTTCTCTTCCTCTTCCTTCCTTTCGGATTTGGTGTCGATCCCCTGTTTCTGGTGCTTGGAGGCGGTGGCGACGTTTGTTGGGCGACCGAGCAGCGGTGGCGGCCTCGGCTGCGGCGGCTAGGGTTCTAGAGGGGGGTGGATGAGTGGCTAGAGTTTGGAATTCAATTCATGTTGTGGCTTGGGTCCGGGCCCTATTGGGTACCAGCCCATTTGTGTTTGGGCTTTTGTTTTGGGTTTCAATTTTGATCACTTTATCTGCTTGTACTTTCCATATGGGCTTGGCCCGATCATTCTTAATGAATCTCTCTTAAAAAAAACAATTATTAGTATTTTATATAATAAATATTGAGTTTTATATTCCTAATAATTATTTCCACTTTTAAGTATGATTCTTACAACCTTTATAAGAGATTTATGTATTTTTTTAATATTAGTCGGTACTATAGTAGGCATTTGTATTAATTAGAATTGATTTCATACAAAATGCAAATATCTAACGAAAGTTGTGAAAGCACTACGACATATCAAATATCTAGTAAAATTGAAAAATCAAAACTATATCTTTTGAAAATTCCTAATACTTCTACTACTTCTACTATAGAGAATCACTACTATTCTAAAATATATATCACAATGAGCATCACTATCAATATATTACTACAACAAACTTAAAAATCACTACTATCCTCAAAACCACTACTAATGATTCTACAGAAAACAATTACTACGAGCTTTCAGCCCGGCCCGTTGGTCGAAATAAGGTGAAGTATGAAATTTGAGAATTTAATGAGCTGTATAACTTATTGATGTATTGTTTTTTTTTTTTGGGAAAACGTAATAAAGATAGTGAATTTTTGTAGGAAAGAGGCATGGATGATGCAATGAATAAAAAATCAGCCTTAAGAACCAAGTTCGAGTACCTGTCACATTGTGAAACAGTATTATTTATGGTAATATGATGAAGTGGAGTAAGTTTTATAATACCGAATTCCATCAAACCGAAACAAAAATTTCCTATCCCCCCGGTCTTCTACTCTTCGGGAAATGAGCATCTCACAACTTTTATCTAATTAGAATGTGCCACCTAGATTTTACTCGACCCGTTGGCCGATTATTTTCTTTATAAAACTTTCATCTTGTCGTCAAAGTTATTAATTTGAATGGAACAATCCATTCATCAACTCACGGAAAGGGTTAGGTGGCACATTCTAATTATGATTGAAAAAACTAAAAAGGAAAAAAACTAAATAAAATGTAAACTATTTTATCAATTTACACTGTTAGATCTATAAAAAAATAATAGAAAAAGAAGTTAAAAAAATTAATATGTTAGAAGAGATACTAATGTGGATGCATAAAAACCCTTGAAATTGAAACTGTGAAGTCTAAATAGACAAAAATTTTATTATATTACTAACTTTGAGCGCTGCCAGCAACCTGCGTTGGGTTAATTGTACCGACTATTTATCATAGTTGTCAATTACATAAATTTATTCACAATCCATGTTTGTAAATCTCATCTTCGGTCAGGGCGGAAGGACGAGTTCTCTCGTTTAGCGAGGGTTTTTTTAGGCGGCGGAAACCCTAGGTTTTCCGAGTTTTAGGTTTTGATCGGCGATCAAGTTTTCTACCAGAGGGTTACAAAGTGGAAGTTGGAGTTCCATATCCTATTCAAATAAGGTGTTTGCAGCGCAAGATCGGGCTATTGTTTTGAGCCTTTTCAAAAGATAGTTCCTTATAGAAGACCAACTGTAAACCTAGCAAGCCTTATTGCTAGTTTGATTCTCGGTTTACAATAAGCGAGATTCAATGGCAAACGAAAAAACAGGGAGAAAGTTGATGCTATTGAGGTGGAGCCGCTGGAACTCCAAACCACAGCTGAAAGCATCGAGAAACAACTGGATCACATCAGACGATCCTTTGGAAGTTGAGGACGGCGATGTGGATGTTGTCCGAATGGAAGTTGTACGTCAAATGGGGCTAATAGGCCGCCTAGTTGCTGAAAAACAACCAAACGTCAAATCCATGAAGATTGCTCTTGCAAAGGCATGGAATCTCAAAAAGACCTTCCAGATTAAAGATCTGGGGGATATGTTGTTCGCTTTTCAATTTGTTTGATCCATCTAGCTCAGGACACGAACAATGATATTTGTTGGTGTGGGTCGACTCGTCATCCGTTCGTCTGATCTCGTCGGGAGGGAAAGAACCTGTGGAAGAGCCGGGGTTGCCCCCCGGATTAAGCTCCGACGGTCAAGTTAGTGTCGGTTTGTAGAGATAGTTGAGAGAATAAGGTAGAGAGATGAAGTGTAGAGAGATAATGGAAAGTGGAAAGTGGGGAGAGAGGGCCGAAGTCCCCCTCTTTGGAGGGCTTCCAGCCCTTATATACCTGTAGCGGGTATCGAGCGTTGGGCATCGCCGATTATGCGCCCTACTGCTTAGTCTGTGCGCCCCGTCCCTTAGTAACACCCCCAACAATTGCCCCCCAAGCTGGTGGTGAGTTTTAACTCATCACTAGCTTATATTTTATTTTTTTAAATCTTTGTCGGTAATTTTGGGTGGGGCCTATGTACCCCAGTTGCCCCCCAGCTGGTGGCGCGTTTGAGTGACGCGGTGCCAGCTTCATGCGTCTTGCCCCCCATTAGTGCCATTAACGCTTAGGATAGTAAAATATTTTAAAAATTTAATAATGATGGAGGGATAGAGTACTTAGCTTTATATTGGCAGTGGCGGCAGGAGTAGTTGAAAGGCAGGCGCTGCGCCATTGAAACAGAACCTGAGTGGTAGCCTGCAAGTTGTTCTTTCGAACTGGGCGCGAATAGTGCTGGACTATTGCTAATGTTTTGTTCTTTCGAACCATGCCCTTTTGCGCGAATAGTGCTGGACTATTGCTAATTTTTGTTCTTTCGAACCATGTCCTTTTGCGCGAATAGTGCTGGACTATTGCTAATTTTTGTTCTTTCGAACCATGTCCTTTTGCGCGAATAGTGCTGGACTATTGCTAATTTTTGTTCTTTCGAACCATGTCCTTTTGCGCGAATAGTGCTGGACTATTGCTAAGTTTTGTTCTTTCGAACCATGTCCTTTTGTTTATTGCGCGAATGTTAAAATTCAGGCGCCACACCGTTGAAACACAAGGTACTTGTGGCCTGCTGGTAAGGATGCTTACCTGTCGGAGGAGTGGCGCGGGTTCGAAGTCTGGCGACGACTACATTATTTTTAAGTAGTGCGCCTGTTGAATGCGGGCCGCGAGTGCGCTTGGGCGCGAGCAAGGGTGCATTGCGCTTGTTGGACGCGGGTTGAGTTGGGATGGGCCGCGAATGCTGAGCCGCTGATCGGAAGTGGGCCGCGAATAGAGAAGGCGGGCTAAGTTGAGTTGGGCCGCGAGTGCGCTTGGGCGCGAGCAAGAGTGCAGGAGGTTTTAAGTTGGTCGCGCGCCATTGGAACACAAGGTGTGCTTGTAACCTGCTGGTAAGGATGCTTGCCTTGTGGAAGTGTGGCGCGGGTTCGAATCCCTGTGGCGACAATAAATTTGTTGAAGAGTGCTGATCAGTTGAATGCCCGCGCGAGTTGGGCCGCGAGTTGGGCTTGCGCGCGTCGCGGGCTGGTGACGCGGGCCGGCCGCGAGTTGGGCTTGCGCGCGTCGCGGGCTGGTGATGTGGGCCGGACGGGAGTTGGGCTTGCGCGTGTCGCGGGCTGGTGACGCTTGTGATGCTTGCGTCGCGAGTTGGGCCTGCGCGCGTCGCGGGCTTGGGGAAGATGCTGCCGCGAGTTGGGCTTGCGCGCGTCGCGGGCTGGGGGAAGACGCTGCGCAAGTTTGGCTTGCGCGCGTCGCGGGCTGGTGACGCGGACCGGACGCGAGTTGGGCATGCGCGCGATGCTTGTCCCGCGAGCTTGGGAGCGGACGAAGTTGTGCGCGAGGTGGGCCTTGGAGATCGTCCGCGAGTTGGACAGGCGGTGTGGTGGGCCGCGAGTTGCCCAAGAGCCCACTTTGCGCGTTGCTGTCGAGGCGAGTCAAAGTGAATAAATAGGGCGCGCTGCGCTTTTAGTAATAACAAAGCGCTTTAGTCCGCTGGTTAACTTGTATGTCTGGTGGAGAAATGGCGCTGGTTCGAGTACTGGCGGCGATGACATTTTTTGACGCGAGAGTGGGTGGGCTGGAGGAAGGTGGCTTCTTGGGAACTTCGCCTGTCTCTTCCCTCTGACAGGAAGAAGGATGGGCTGGAGGAAGGTGGCTTCTTGGGAACTTCACTTGTCTCTTCCCTCTGACAGGAGAGAAGGTGGCTTTGCTTTTGCTTTTTTTTTTTTTTTTACTGTTGAGGTGACTGAATAGAAAGTACTGATGTTGACTGCAGAGTGGCTCTTCTTTCTTTTTCATCTGGGCGCCGGTGCCGCCCCTATCTCCGGCGGTCGGAATCTGTTTCTTCTTCTTCTCTGCTGGCTTTTCAAGTTTTTTTTTTTTTATGAAGCTTTTGTATTCACTTCAGATCAAAAGTTCTTCCTCCTTCCGCGAACGAACGAACGAATCCAAATCAGCCCCACGGTGGGCGCCAATTGTTTGATCCATCTAGCTCAGGACACGAACAATGATATTTGTTGGTGTGGGTCGACTCGTCATCCGTTCGTCTGATCTCGTCGGGAGGGAAAGAACCTGTGGAAGAGCCGGGGTTGCCCCCCGGATTAAGCTCCGACGGTCAAGTTAGTGTCGGTTTGTAGAGATAGTTGAGAGAATAAGGTAGAGAGATGAAGTGTAGAGAGATAATGGAAAGTGGAAAGTGGGGAGAGAGGGCCGAAGTCCCCCTCTTTGGAGGGCTTCCAGCCCTTATATACCTGTAGCGGGTATCGAGCGTTGGGCATCGCCGATTATGCGCCCTACTGCTTAGTCTGTGCGCCCCGTCCCTTAGTAACACCCCCAACACAATTCATTGAGCAGGATGATCAAAACAAGGTGTGCTTTGGTGGCCCTTGGCACTATGAAAACAACCCTCTTAAGAACCATGTGGGACACTTATATGAGACTAAGGGTGAGCATATTCATTAACAACCCTCTTAAGAAGAAAATCGAGTTAAACATAGGAGGGAGATTGGTGGAATACCTGGTGAAGTACGAAAAACTTCCTATCTTCTATTACTCGTGTTGCAGGATAGGACATCTGACTCACTCCTACTGTCACCCTAGAAAATGGCCAAGTATAACCAATTCCTAAAGCGTAGTATAGCGGGTCGGGTTTTAATGTCAACCCGGGTCCTAGATGTGATGACTACTCGGCGAATTCTTGTTATTTAGCAGTGAACTTTTAGTGAAACTGAAGCAAACAAAACACAAAGCAAGTAAACGGTTTGTTGTCAAGTCAAGAGAGGTCACCCGGATATGGTTTCCCCCTAGACTGCAGTTAAGTCGGATTGCATTTTACCAAGTTCAGTTTTCATGAAAATTATACTGCGGAAGGTTCTCAATTAGCCTGAAGTCTCGACTAAAGGTCTCCAGACCCTCTCAATCTGAGTCTCTAGCGGGCGACTAACCTCCACCGGAGTAAACAGATTGAGGCCCTAATGAACCAAACCTCCACTACCGAATCGACTTCGGTACAGAATAGCGAATTGGCTCCTCGACTAAAGTCACCAATTCGCCACCTTCGATTAAGGGTACTCTATCAACCTAGGCAGATATTCTCATTCCAGGTTAAAGCAGAAACAACAGGAATTTGATCAGGATTCAAGTCATTCAATCAATCAAACCTCAATCGAATATAATCAATTCACAAACACTGTACTTAGGTTCATACAATCAGACCTAGCATACAAATCTAGGGTTCTCCATACCCAGATGAATGGGGAAACTACTCCATAGAGAAAGAAGCAAAAGCAGATTCAGACACGGAAATCATACTGTGAAGTTGGATTCCTGCTTCTGGACGTTTAGTCGCACTTCTCCAAGCTCAAGACGGGCTCCAATGGTGTTGAAGATCGATCTATGGCGCTTGAGAACTCTGGTTCGACGCTTTCTCTCTCTAGGTATCGGTTTCTCTCTCAAAAACTCGGAACCCTCTGAAAATTGGCCTTCTTCCTGTTTTATCAGCTGCCTGTCGCGATACCCGGTCAAAATACCCGGTCGGGTATTTTATGGTTCGACCGGGTATTTTATGAAACGCACCGTCTGACTAAGGGAAAAATCCCCGGTCTACCACCAAAATCCCCGACCGGGGATTTATCGCCATCGCCCGGGCCCCCTTCTGCTTCTCACGGGTGCCCGAAGGAGGAAATACCCGGTCGAGGCCAGAATATACCCGGTCGGGTATTTCTTCCTTTGACCGGGTATTTTGGTCCAGCAGCATCCTTTGTCCAATCTTCGCTCCTTTCGATCCAGAACTCGTTCCTTCGCCTCGATTCCAACGCCAGGACCTGAAATATGACATAAACACACAACCTAGCGTAAAATCGGCTTAAAATACGAGATTCCTCATCACAAACGACTTCAGAATAGGGGTGAAAACATGTATGATTATCGGTCTATCAAACTCCCCCACACTTAACCGTTTGCTTGTCCCCAAGCAAACCAAGTCAGACACTAGGTAAGCTTACATATTTCAATCAACCAACACTGGGGACAAGTCATAAAGGCACAAAACACGTGAATCGCACTGGTTTTCAAACATCAAAACATGCACAACCTCAATGACAACCTGGACAACCACCACAAAGGACATTCGAATGCAGCAAATCGAGTAAAGGAAGAGTCTCTCGTCTGTTCACTAGCCAACCTAGACTTGATTCAACCACCTACTCAAAACAGTCAACTCATGCATCCAACTCAAAACATCAGAATAGAGACCGAGCAATCTAGGTCCTCACCGGGGTACAAGAGTATATAGAAAATGGAAATGAATCGCTCACTCTCGACCAGTGGGGTCAGGACATTTTTTGATGCGAAAGATGCGCATGCTATTTCTCTCAATCCCTATCATCTCTTCACCATGATGGCAGCCTCTAAATGCTAGAGTTCACATATGGGGTGTCACCACTAACTAATCAGGAGGTCTTAGACACAGGTTTAAATGACTGGCTAGGGCCTTGGACATGGGGAAAAGGCCTTTAGGTGGTGGAAGTATTCATAGCAAAAAGGTTCCACATTTTCCAAACACACAATCACAGTCAAACAACCCGGTATTTTCTTTCTGCTATTCTGCATTACTCAACATCTTAAGAGCACAAGAGTGAAGGAGGCATAATCATCAGCATTTCCAAGCCAGACTGCTAAGAAACACTGCTTACTGGGCATTATTCATATTTTTGGTAGTGGCTCTCTTTTACTTTCATTTTTTTCTTTGTTTTTCTTTCATTTTTCTTTTCATTTCTTAAGAGAACCACCACTTCTGCATAAATTACAAACACCTGCCCAATTTTTAAGCACTACCTCCAACACTCACATAGACTTTAGCAGAAACAGCAGAGAATATATAAAACCACTCTGTGGAACCTTCTAAAAGATGCAACAAGGGTGATTTTTTCATTATAGACCAAAAGAAAGGATAACACACGGCTCAAAGGGGCTGACTAGGGGATATGACACATCAGGACAGTCAGTTTTGGGCGTGGGCTAATCCTATGCCCCCATCATCTTAGCTAGTGACAACGTGAATGCTACACATCATGGAAGAGGGATCTATCGCACAAGAAAGAAACGAGCAGGCTCAAATCTCACATGGCTACCTATATGCTCTATCTCACATTCTGATACCCTGAACTAGATGCATAAACGACTGTCAAGGATAAGTAATCAGATCAAGTCAGATCAAGTCACAGTTGCCAAGCAAACAGTTGAAAACCTAAACCCCTACATCGTTCTACTGCACATCTCAGTCCTCATCATAGGTTGTCCTAGTCGCAAACAAGTTGTCATGCATTAATCCGAAAACCAATCAATTCATCCATCAAAACACAGTGCCAATATGATCAAACAGCAGTACTTGGAGCCCTCAAATCGTAAGATTTGGACAGTGGACTAGGCTCCAAGCACACAAACAGAGCTAATGCAGTCAAAAGATAAACATTCCCCCCACACTTAAGATCGACATTGCCCTCAATGGAGAAGAGGGAAGGAAAGGGGAACGATGTTACCGGTGTGCACAGACTGCAGAAGACTGGAAATGGACCAGTCGGCATGGGACGGACTGGAGAGAGGACCAGTCGGGAACACAGGCAGAGCTAAAAGAGACCAAAAAGCTCAAACACATACGTTAGGTCCAACGGTCAGCCCAATAGTACATAGTCCATAAGGAAGAGAAACAAAAACCGACACAAAACAGACAGTTTGCATGCTGACACAGATAAAAACTCTCAAAACAAGCCCCTAGGGCCCTCCGAGACCGGAGAAATCAATCTGATCCATAAGGTCGTCGACGCCATCATCCGGAGGCTGCCGTGGTGGTGAATGCTCCCATCTGGTGGTCCAGTGGTGCTCTGCTGGAGGGTGGCAAGCCTGGAGTAGATGCTCGGAATACTCCATCAGACGGCGACCTCGGTCTCTCTCCCGCTCGATGAGAGCAGTAGTGTGGCCCATGTGGGTCTCCAATCGGCCAAGGCGCTCATCCACGCCCGTCATCCGGGACCGGTACTCGGCCTGGTGGGCCGAATACTGCTGGTAAAACTGGACCTGATGGTCCATGAGCTGCTGGTTCTGAAGACCCAGCTGCTGGAACTGGAGGCCCATCTGCTGGAACTGCTCCGTGAAGAAGTCCATCGACGGACCAGAAGGACCAGAGGAGGACTCGCCTCTCTCCGGTCTCCGTCGAGGCTGCAGATCCCCAGGGGGGGAGAGCGAGGGCTCCGGTGCGTCGGCATCCATCACGCCGTCATCATCATCGTTAGCATCCTCATCCACCTCCTCATCGTCCGAGTCGAGATCAATCACCCCCGCTGGGGGCATAGAGAGGCCATCCACCCAGGTGCGGATGTCATCAGTGGCGAGGAGGCGCGCGTTGTTGAGCACGTCCCGGCTGAGGGGGGGCAGAACCACCCAACACAGTCGCATTGTGAAGCCCCTGAAAGCTGATGTCGAAATGCCGCGCCAACCGTGTGATCAGGGGACCACAGAAGAGGTGGGTAGGATGCCCCCGGATCCGGTGGAAAGTGAGGGCCATGAAGGAGCCCAGGTGAAGCATGTGAGCCGGATCCCCCATCGAGTACATGGCGTATAACACCCTCTTCGGGATCTTGTGCGAACCGGTGGCGTTGGGGACGACGGACCGGGTGATCAGCAGGTTCAGGATGTGCCACTGCGGCTTCAGGGTGCTAACGGAGGTCTGGCCAGCATCGAAGTAGTCGTAGCCATAGGCGCGCCTGGCTATCCTGCGGTAGAAAGCAGTCTGGTTCCAGTCGGTCGGGTGGGCAACCTCGAGCTCATGGGCATCGAAGGGGTGGTACTCGATACCCAGAGCGTGGGCCAACCCGTCGATGGTCAGCTCCCTGTGATCGCCACCCAACCGGAACGTCACTGCATACTCATCCCGGGCCATCGAGCGGTCGTAGCGATAGGTGGTGTAGAACTCCCACACCAACTCCGTGAAGGTGGGCTCGTCAATGGCAAGCAGGGTCCGCCAATCAGGGTGACTAATGGCGGTGCTAAGCTCCTGCAAGCAGTGGAGCTGCTCGAACACTGCCCACTCGAGGTGGTGATGCTTCTCCAGCTTCCCTCGTATCACCTTGAGGAACTGGTCCGCATACTCTGCGTGCAGGCGCAGATCCTGCACGAAGGGATGGTCCTGCGACATGGCCCTGCAAAATCAAAACACCATAGGTGGAGCCAAGAAAATAGATGGTCAGGACTAACGGCATGGGGTCAGCACTTCCCCCACACTCGAGCTCACCTAGGCTAACAATTTAAGCACAGCCAGATGAATCGCAAGCAACTCAACCAGAATTCAAGGCAGGATCACAGAATAAACCACAACCATCACCCAGACAGTCCATCTATCACATACACAGCCATGCAAGCTCAAGTCATCCCTCACCCTAGTCTAAATTTGGCATGCCAACACAGTTCTCGGTCCTAGAATCTACAGTCCGATTTTCCATAAACTAGAAAGTAACAGGAACACACCTGGAAACACAAGGAGGACCGTAGCTAGGACTCGAAAAACGGGTGAGGGGTGCGAGGAGATCGGAAAAAAATCGCCCCGGAAACTCGCCGGAAAATGGGCCGGAGAGTCGCCGGAAAGTCGCCGGAAAGTCGCCGGGAAGTCGCCGGTGATCGGCGGCGGCGGCGGAGGGAGGTGGCGGCGGCGGCCGGCGGCGGCGGAAGGCGGCGGCGGGCGGCGGCGGGCGGCGGCGGGCGGCTTTGATGGCTGCCGGCGGCGGCCAGGGAGGAGAGAGGGGAGAGGAAATGGGGGAAGAGAGAGAAGTGATTTGGAAAAAAATGAGAGGTAGAGAGAGAAATGAACGGGGGTTTCCTTATATAGG